CACAGGTCTTAGCAGGAAGCCTTTTCATCTGTGCTCCTAATAAGGAATAATGAATATGTTAATGGATACATTAAGGAATCGTGTTTAGAGCTTGTTTTCTATTAGGAGTCTAAGAAGAGCCATCCAGATAGATGCCAGTCATCTTACAGGTGACGACAGTGATGAGTCAGAGCAGAGGTGTGTATCAGCTACGTCAGGTCCTGTGGAAGGTAGGTTGGAGTTTACATGTGTGAGAACTCAGGGTCTACGAAATCAAATTTAGACCCCCTGAGAGTAGGGCAGGGTGGCTTGTGCTTGAGGGAACCACCCTCGCCGACCCCCTGAAAGTCACTCTGCAGTGGCTTTGAGAGCAATTATCTTGGTAGAGCAGCTCTTACTTTGCATTTAAGATTGTCCTCCTGAAAAGGTCATGTGTAAATCAAATTTAATAAATCAAATTCTCCACTTCATACCTTGGGGAGGCTCACTCTTCAAAGGAAACGGCGAGTGAGTCCCTTTTTTAATAGAAGTAATCAGCTCTTCATTTATCTGATTTGTAAGGTAAGATTTTTATGTATCAGGTTTTCTAAAAGTGAGTGGCGGGGTCTTTCTTCCGTCGGAGGCAGGAAACACAGCACAGAATGGTGGACGCGGAACAGGTGCAAGGGAACAACACAAAATAGCAAAGCAGAGGTGCGTGCCATGAAAAGTGAGGGGTACACTGGTTTTAGTCATGGCTGGTTTCAGGCCTCTCCCAATAGCATAGGTTTTTGGTTTTTCTTGTCTCTGATCTGCTTTCTCCTGGCTTTAATCTTAGGGGCTCCTGAGTGAAGCTGCCGCCGCATCTTACGCTGCCAGGTTCAAGGCCAACAGGGAAGATTACTTGCCTCTCTTCCTAGTGGGCCTCAGAATGGGCTCTGATTGAGTCATCTTCCCATCACGGAATAAGTAGAAAGCCACAGACTGATCACAGGGACCCCCGTGCAAACCTCGTGGACTAAGAGGGAGAAGAAAATCAGGCAGTTAGGACAAGAAATGGGGAAGACAGCCAGGGGAGGGGACACAGTCTTTCCCTCTTCCTCACCCTCATGCCCCATCCTTCCCCATGCTCCTCTCTCCTGGACGTAGCTCGTGAGAAATTGTCTGCTCGGGGCTGGCGTCAGAATCCCCAGGGAGCTCCTTAAAACTCAGATGTTGGGGACCCGCTCCAGATGGAGTGAATTCCATTATCTTATGGTAGGTCTCAGAATCTCTGATTTTAGGTCATTTCCCAGGTGATTAAAAAAAAATGCATTGACGTTTTAGAGCCACTCCCCAAAGCCATTTTTCCTTCCTTTCCGTTTCCCACGGTAACCGCCTTAGTGGAGGACACACCATTTCTCACCTGGGCTCTTCCAAATGCCCCTTGACTTACATGTTCTCTTCCCTCTTCATGTTCTCCCCACCACCCACAGCCCTCTCCCGAACCACAAGGGTCTCTGAACCCCCTATCTCTCACTCCACTCCTCTCTCCAGCCTCCAGTCTATGAGATCTCCTTATGGCCTGGACCACAGCCACTCTGGATGTCCCTGTCATCCATACTCCAAACATCCCAGGTCCTTTCCCCCACTCTGCTCCATGGGACCTTCCCTCTGTCTCAGGTGCATATCTTTCCTCCACCTGGCAAGCTCTGACTCTGGCATTAAAGCCCAGCTCACCTGCCACCACCCCTGTCTAGCCTCCTTGTCCCTTCTCTCCAGGAGGACCTGGTTATGGGCCATCATACCCCCTCTTATTCTCCTATGAACCTGTTCATCTTTTTTTCTGTCTTTCCCTCTGGCTCAATAGTGTATGTTAAGTATTAAAAAGCAAGTTTGGGGGCTGGGCATGGTGGCACACGCCTATAATCTCAGTGGCTCTGGAGGCTGAGGCAGGAGGGTCTTGTTCAAAACCAGCTTCAGTAAAAGTGAGGTGCTAAGCAACTCAGTGAGACCCTGCCTCTAAATACAAATATAAAATGCAAAATAGGGCTGGGGATGTGGCTCAGTGATCGAGTGTCCCTGAGTTCAATCCCCAGTACCCAAAAAAAAAAAAAAAGCATTTTTTTTTGGAGAGCAACAAACTGAAGTTTCATCCAGCTTGAGATATTTACAAGATGTGTAACCTTGGGCACATCATTTCACTTTCCTGAAACTTAGTTTCCTCATTTGTAAGTGGGAAAATTCCTACCTACTTCAGAGGTTTGTGGATGGGTTCAACCAAGATAACGAACAGACGTCTCTTAGCAACATAATTAGTGCTCAATGAATGCTAAATAAAAATAATAACCTTACGTCAAGGAAGGAATCAACCTTTGCTAGAATACCTAAATTCATATTTATAGAACACCAAGTAAGTTTTTGCTTAAAATCACATCACTCAAATAATCCTGTCCTGTTGCATGGGTTAAGTTTGGAAAGGTGCAGATGGACCCTGGGCTGAGACCATTTTCCGTGTCCCCCACACTTTCATGCTTTTCTTTATCTTTTTCTGAGCCTTTGAGCAGCTTTGAGCCCATCCCTCTGAAATAATCGCCTTCGGTACATGGAATGCTGACACAGGAGTAACGCAGCTTCCCACGGTTCAGTTTCCCTGGACTATGGGAATGTTTCAGGTCCGTGAGAAAGAGGGAGGCTAAGGATGCTCCCTAGTGGACAACCGTTCACAAGTGCTAGTGTTGAGCTTGCATAAACCAAGGCCATTAAATCTGCCCGACGTGACAAGATTGGTCCCGGAATCCGAATGAACCTGGTAAGTGCAGGAGAGATAAACATTTCATTTAAGTGAGCAGCAGGATGAATTTCAAGAAATTCAGCCCCTCTTCGGGTGACGGCTTCCTGCTTGGTTTGTAATCTGCCTGAAATTGTCACTCCCCTTTATGATCATGCATCATGCACTTGGTATGCAAGAGGTTTTGCAAAAGAGATCAGAAACACAAGTTGGGAAAGGCGCAGACAGGTGGAGAAAAAAATGCAGTCAACTTCTCAGCAATCTGCAATGCCACCACAATTAGCAGCCATGGGGAGTAGTTGGGAGCCAGTTTGATGTATGAGAAGAACCCAGCGCAGCAGCTGGTTTTCTTCCATTAGTTGTGGGGGTTAGTGGGAAATGAAGATGCGTGACTGGGTATGGGTGTCCCACATGCATGTGTGGATGTGAGAGGATTCGAGAAAATCATGTCTACATCTCTGTGGACTGCTCACAATTTGGAGACTAGATCATAGCACTAACCTGATTCTGCTTGTCTACTGACATATTAGATACGGCTCAGAATGCAGCAGCCCTTGATCCAGGAGCAGGGAATATGAAGCTTAACAAGACAATACAGGACAAAATCTTTGCCTTCTGGGAACTCACAAGAATAGACAAGAAAACAAACAAGATGTAAGATTAGGTTCCTGGAAGCCAGAGATCATGTCTCGTGTCTTTGCACCTCCAGGTTGTTCCATGGCCTCCGAGGGCCTGAAGTGCTCTTTGTTTTAGCAGCCTGTCTTATTTTACATCCAATACATTATATTTATATGTAACCCTGTAAGTGTTGTGCTGAAAGATAATTGATAGGTGGACATAAGGTTATCGTTTATAGACTTTAAAGAAGATTTTTTTTTTTGGTTTAATGTTGCAGTCTTTGTACTTTGGAGATGATATTAATTATTTTCAGGTCTCAAATATTTTCATAAACCCTTGAAAAGCTCATGAGTCTCAGGAGCTGCTTTGATGTGGTCTAATAGATTAGTTGGGCCTGGAAACTTCACACAGTGCCTGGCATGCAGTATGTTCCTCTTTCAAATATTTGATCAATGAATAAATTAATTAAGGGCATCTGATAATGAATAAATGTCACGCGTTCTGAAGTCGAGTTTCAGGAACAAGGAACTTCCCTTATGGCTCTGCATCCCCTTCTGGATCCCAGTTCTGACTTTTGGA